GTGTTCGCCAAGGCCTGGCGGGATGAACGACCGAGAGCTCTTTCTCGTCGTCCTCGGCCAAATCTTCGGGCACTGCATCCACAACATCCTGGCACCACGGATGTCTGCGTTTGCTCTCACTGAGAAGCACCAAATCCACCTCAGCCTTGAAGGCGACCATGTTGATGCTCCTAGACCGGCAGCGCAGCAAGTGTTGCTGATGCTTCTTGATGGCTCTCTTTCTGCATGCTCTGCAATGCCCTGCAATGCTCTACAGCGGAAGCTCCATCTGGTGTGGGGCAGTGGCAGAAAGCGCGCACCTGCGCGCTGCAACTTGGCATTCGCATGAACCCTGGATCTGCTGACACATCTGGGCCGTGCACCATCGAATTGTCCGTGTCCACTGGCATGAAAGTCATGCCAACCAAAATCATAGGCACACTCCGTGCCGTCTGCCAGTCGCGACCTCTTATCGGAGAACACCCAGCTTGCGTGCAGCACGACTGGGAAAGACGACACAGTCTGCGGTATCATTGTGGCCGAGGGTCAGGAAGCTCTCGTGCATCCATGCAGCACACTGCCATGTCGACCAAACGCATTGGCTTTGTGACTTCCTCAGATCTGATGCCAAGCAATAAACCATCACATCCCGCGTGGTGGAATCTGCTGCTACCACCAGGCATCACGCTTCTCAATGGCCATCAGCGGGAGAACATCGTCGTTGCGAACCCACCTAACTGCACGACCACTCAGCGGCACGATGATAGGTAGTTCAGCTCACAGCTAAAACAATTGTGCACTTGTGCACAGCCCAGATATATCCAAATATGATAACAAGAGCTTTCAAGCAAATCCCGTAGAGATTCCTGGCGCACGCTTTCACATCGGTGGCCAAATCTGCCGTATCGACTATCTGAAATGCCTCTCGAGAGTCTGATGACGTTTCTCGGTTGGTACTCGCAGACGCAAACAGAGGAAAATCGTGGTGAAATCAGGGGAGGGAGGGCGGGATAAGAAAATTATGACGGAACATATACTGTATGATTTGAGATCGATTGATCCTCGGAGTCGATCGGTTGAAGCATGAAGAGCTCAAAGTTGTCACTTCGCAGATTCGCAGACAAGTCTGCTACACATGCCACACGACAGTACGGTCGATCACTGACGTTCTGTGCTAGGACGGACTGTCGTTCTTGGTTGCTGGTTGGTCTGTCAACTCCTTCGCTGTCGTCGCTTCCAGCTTCGTTCACGATTTACATCGATTTTCCTTTACCTTTAAAAGACGTGCCATCCGGCTGCTTTCACCACAGCCAGCAAATCGACCTTGTCCTGCAAGACTCCTCCGAAATGCTCTTCCTTCCGCCTTTGCTAAGGCTGTGTTAGTTGGGGCCCCTGCACAGATCCAGGTTCCTGCGGCCAGGGAAGTTCAATTTGCGGCACGCAAGCCTGCATGCTGCAAAACGAATCAAGGAACTTCAGCCCCGGTTCAGTTGGGCAATTCCTGCCGAGTGTGAAGCTGGATAAGTGTACCAACAATCACCACTCCGCCCAGCCCCTGGACTACAATTCGCTGACAATTCTTCCTCGCTGCTCGGGAAGAAATGACGCAGTGCACCAATGTCCTGCGGTCTGACTCCGATTGCACCGCTCAATGGCTGTACAAATGGTGCAGCAGTCTGTGGAGCTGCCTGATGAACGGCCGATAGGATTGCGTGGTTGATCACCTCGGCTAGTGGTTCTGACAAGCTCTTCATGATGCTGCCAAGCTCTGCTCTACATGTCGCAATGTCGCTTCTTAGTTTCTGGGTTGGTCGCATTTGCAGAGACTAGTCCGCAGCGATTGCGAAGTCGTTCGCGGACCATCTCTGTAATGGCCTTCAACTCAGGTTGCGTGCTTCCCGAACTATTGCAAGGACAGTTCGGCTAGCCTCGTCTGAGATGTAAACAATGTCATCGTCAATTTTCAGGTAGACCTGGAGCTCACCCCACTTGGGTTGGGGCGACAGAGTCTGGACAGTGCAGATGAGATACCGTGTTCGGATCGTCGCAGACAGAATAAATCTTGGCCAGGCGCCTGGCCAAGTGTGACAGAGGGCGATTGGTTCGAATTGCCATGCCCGTGATGCTCTCCCTCTCCGTGCCTGCCCGTGACGACGGGATAAACGTACCAAGGGGCCTCAGAAGTACGAATGAATGCATGAGTTCGACAACGGGGGATGTCGTGTAGCGTAGCACGCCGGTGCTGCCTTGATTCCACTCTGTGGATCCGAACTTCACCAGAAGTTCAGAACAATAGGATCAGGCCAAAAAGTGTAAACACCATCTGTCGAAGAAATCTAGGGTGACAACGTTCTCCTCGATCAGTTGCTCCAGATACTCGAAGTCGTGCCTTCGTGTTGAGATGGCTTTTTCAGAAGAACACGAAAGGCTTTGGTAGCCTCATGGCCGCAAACACGACGAAGTGCACTTTGTCGATGACCTTCAGCCATGGAAGTAACAGCGACCATCGCGGAGCAAGCACGCATCTGGCATTACGAGCATCGCCAACCGCCTTTGGCTAAGTTTGATGCTCCCCCGTTCTTGCGAAGATTCCTTTGCAAGTACCTGCATCTTGTCTTGCTTTTGCTTCCAGCTAATGCTGCTGCCACTACGCTATCATTAACTGGCACACGTATCCAGGATGCGAACTCGGTCTTGTCGTCCGAATACAACGATGGCTTCCACGCGTTGGTCTTCGAGTCCTGCGAAACTCTGCAGAAGGCACGGCAAAGACGACGGCAAGAATTGATTGCGCAGCCGTCCCGCAGCAAGGGCCCTGCGGCTTGCATACGCACATCGCGGCTCGCGGGGATCCAAGCCTACAGCCCGCTGCACGCCCACAACCAGCAGAGATCCTCCCAAAGAAAACGGCCTGGATAAGTGGATCTGGCTCTCGAGTTCGACGGTGTCAAAGCGAAAGCCTGGTGCCGAAGGTCTCCCCGAGACTCGTCTGTAGTTGCTTTGCGCCTCGGCATCCATCACTCCGAGGATGTCCAACAGAGGCCAGGCCTTGAGTGTAGGGAAACAGGGCCAAAAGGGAGGCCAAAAGAGCTCGGGCCTAAGGGCGGCCTAAGGGCCTAAGGTGTAAGGGCAAAGCCATGATCAACAGCTGATGAAACGCCCACAACGTACCGCGCATCCAGGGCTTGATCACCTGCTCGCCCTCGACAAGGAGGCCTGCCACCTTGATGCTTTAAAACTTGTCATGTACGACGCTGGCATCACGTGGGAAGTCGCTGCAAGATCCGGGCCTCTGAACTGAAAGAGTGCTGAATGCTGTGCAGGGAGACAGCGAGAATCCAGAAGGCGGATGCAACCTCTGCAGGCTGCTGACACGATCCCATAATCTGTCTGGAACTGACAGCTTGCAACTTTTCACCAGGTCCGTAGCCGCCAGTGGACTGGCCTCAAAGCAAAGGCGCGACGAGCGAAGGAGCTGTCGCCATGAAAGGGCTGTCAAGAACCACGCAGCATCTCGCCGAGCCAAATGAAGAAATTTGGCAGCGGCACTAGAGGGCGGCACGACACCTCCACAGACTCCACAACAGGCATGGACAGCATGCTTCAACGGTTCTTGGTAGTGCTTGTCATTCCCTTCTGAGATTCCTTCACTACACGAGACGCGACTCCCAGCCTTCAGCTGCACGGGGATCAGCAAAGGCCTGCCTCGGCACGCGCCGATGGCAGATCGGGGACACACAAAGCCCTGGATGACAAGCAGTTTCCAACTGCCAGCGCCACCTCAACTCGTCCAAGAACTCCGCATCTTCCGGGCCCAGGCTGGAACTGCCCCAGGGCAAAAGATGGCAAAAGGGCAAAGACCTCTTTTTCACTCATCTTCACTCGGCCTCAGGGTCGCCTCGCGAGGGTAGAGTGCAGAGGGATCCTGAGCGGAAACATCGTGCCAAAAGAAATGCGGAAGTGGGGTGGCTGCAGTCCTCCTGCACCTGCCTCCGCAAGATCGCCAAAGCGCCAAATGCTCTCCAAGACCACAAGGATGGCCAGGCCATCTGCAAAAGCAAGTCGCAAGACATCGCAAGGTCAAGGCAGGCCGGGGAAACCTTGCGGGAGATTGCGGGAGCCTCAGAGAGTTCGGCCCCGAATTTGGTACGAATGTGCCAGGCACGGATCGTTGCATTCACGTGCACGAGTTGCCAGACCTGAAGGCTTTAAGGGATTTGAAAGTTTCTCCAGTCAACCCGTGATCTGAGGCCACCGAAAGCACGAAGCGGCCGCTGCTGCATCCAGCGCTATCTGCCCCCAGGTGGAAAGCAAGGCGCTTTAGGGATGCTTTCTTGTCACTTCGCTGCAATGGACTCTCCAGTAGCCTCCAGGTTGCAGCTGGAGCTCTTCTTCTACCAGCGCCAGCACTTGAGCTTCTGTGGGTGGCCACACCAGACCTCCATTCACCAGTTGTTTGATTGCACCCTAGCAGCCCTAGCAGCGACTGCCCGTGTCCACGGCAGTCAAGCCTGCCAATGCCGTCTTCGCTTGGCTCCAAAACGGAGCCTCGCAGCCTTCTTCCGGAAACCTGCTTCATGCACAGGCAGGCTGGTAGATCTGACTCTGCCTCTTGCCAGCTGCGTGCTAAGCCGCAAGCACCCCACTTGGCAAGTCGACGGCTGCAAACACCTATACATCCCACCGGTGCATCTTCTCTTGCTACAACGCCTTCCTCACGATTTCGGTCCAGGAACCTGAAGAACCACCGCAGCGCAAAGCTGCCGAAAAAAACGCATCAGTCGAAGGCAGCGGCATTTCGTCGGAGATGGCTACTGAGACGACCAGCATAGTCATCCAACCAACTGCTCTACTGCTCGTGCTTTTGATCCACGTGCCATGTTGTTGCTGGCAGGATCATGCAGCATCTGATTGTCCAAGATGTGTGCCGCTGCGGCCAACGGAGTCCACGTTGCAGTATGCGTTGCACTACACTGCACTGCGCTGCTCAGTGAAGCAAAGGCGGCTCCGAGCTGCGGCTCCTCGCGAAGCCGGCTCCGCTTCTCGTCGATGGCCCGCTGCTGCTTCTGCCGCGTGATCTGCAGCCGAAACGAACGCATGTGCGCGATAATGCGCGCGAATGCGCGCGCAGTTGCCCACAGTACTTCTGACAGACATCTGTCTCTGTGTGCGTGTGTGTACGTGTATGTTGACATCCCCCATGCAGCCCAGCTTATCGAAAACCACTGGACCTGCGGGGACGATGTGAACGAAGTTGTGACCTGCGCAGCTTGAATCGTTTCAGCATGTTTTTGGAACGTAGCAACTCGCATCTCAATCCTGCAGCAAGCTGCAGCAGTCGGTTACTTCTATCTGTACAGATGGCAGCATTGAAGCATGATGACAGTGACAGTCAGTTAAGTGCTTGGAACAGGCAAGGACATCATACAAATCTTAAGAAGCTTGAGGACCAGTGCCGTCCATCGAGTTGCTTGTGCCAAGAGCTCCTACAGTACTATGTGACTCAAAGCTGTGCCGCATGGTCGGATTCATTCAATAATACTACAGGAGCAGTCTTGGACCTCTGAGACGACGGAAAAGCTCGAAACTCACGAATGTTTAAAAGAGCTTCAGATCTGTTCCGCGGCTTGCTTGGTTCAGCTCGAGCCGTGCAGATTGTCAAGCCGGGATCCCAGCACCACGTGCACCCCCACTTCGTGGCAGAAGGGCCAATTTGTCACATCCTGTACGGGATTGTGGGAAAGACTGCAGCAATCTGGGATTTAGAATACATCGCGCACCTGGAAGTCTGCCAAGTGCATGAGCAACTTGCTGCAATTGCCTCGAATTGGACAATGCTCTAACCCTGGATCAGGGCACGGCCCTGAGGGGGTTTGAGACTCAGGGGTACAGCTCACGCCCGGAGGCCTTCCAGGCGCAGGATCAGAGTTGTATCAAATTGCGCTGCAGTCAGCAATCCGGTGAGGCGGGAGCGATGTCACTCCCGACACCATCCCAGCCTGAGCTCGGGGGGAACGAAGCCGACATGTGGCCCTTCTCGAAATGCAGGGGACGGCACCCCGAGCTTGGCCTTCACCTCGGTTCTTAAGCGCACCAACGTAGTAGTCTGTCATGCAAGCTCATCTTTGCTTATATGCACGCCTCCTGGGCCTCTGCCAGCTCAATGCCCAATCTTGCAGTGTCTTTGGGCATCAAGCGAAGATTCTATGGAATCAACTCACCTGCCTTGCTACTGTCGAGGAGGCTCTTCTCGCAAAGATGGCCAAGACCACTCGTGCACGATCAAAGACGGCGATTCTGCCGGGATGAAACGAATGGGAAGCACAACGAATCAAACGACAGTAGCAGGGATACATGTGCTGTACATGCCGGCATGTGGTGAAATCTGCTGTGTCTGAGATGCTGTGAAGCTTTGCGGCATCTTTTATGAGAAGCTGCTGTTGGCGGGTTGGCGTGCGACGAATCATGTCATCTTTGTAATCTATGAACTGTCTGTACATGGACACAGCATGGAGATCTCTGTATGAACCTAAAAGTGTACGTATACGTATTTCACACGTTGTACAGGTGTCAGTTTTTCATAATGCATAAAAGGTACGTACATACATACATACATACATGCATACATGCATACATGCATCCATGCATGCATACATACATACATGCAAACCTGCAACCATGCATGCATGCATGTATATGCATATGCATATGCATATACATCTACATACACATATACATATACATATACATGTACATGCACATGTACATGTACATATACATACACATACACATACACATACACGCATACATGCATACATGCACACATGCATACATGCATACATGCATACATGCATACATGCATATGTACATACAGATAGTACATATGTACATATATATATATATATACAAGCACATGTTCTACATACATATCCGCATATACATATGAGTTATACCATTAAACTCCACGTTTACATATACACATACATATACATGTACAATGTAGATATGAATATACTTAAACCTACGCATGTTCTCGGTCCTCTCAGATGCCCATTTCTAGGTGGCTGTATGTCGTCAGTGAGTACTTGCCTAGGTCGGTCGTGGGTCTGTGAGTTGGTCGCTAGGCACCTAGCTAGCTCGCTAGCTGGCTAGCTAGCTAGCTAGCCAGATCTGCATGAGTGCGAGCATGTATGCATGCACTTCCTACGCACTGCCCTGCCTTGACTGGTTGATGTCGGAGGCGCCCATGTCGTATTTCTGCTGCCGCCGCTGGGCATGCCAGGCAAGGTCCATGGCAGCCTGTATGTCACTTACATGCGTCCACGGGCGTCCACACTGTCCTGTCGCTGCGAGCATGTCAAGACACTGACGAACCTCCAAATGTCTTTGCTGAACGGGTGACAAGGAGGCATTCACCTTTCGGCGATGCAGTCGAGCTGTCTGGGGTACGCCCGAGCCCAATCTCTGGGAGCTCAGACGAAAAGGAGATCAGCTCCATGCCGCGCGACCTGCACCGCCACGCGGCAAAGCTCCTCGCATCACAGCAAGAGAAGGTTTCTGCCCCAGCATCTCCGTTTCCTGAATATTTACGCTCAGAGAGCATGGGCAGGTAACGGATGGCATCCTTGAGGTGGAAAAAGAAGCGTGGGTCAACTCTTTCCAGCCTGGCCTTGGCTGGGTGTGCAGAAAGCACAAGCACGGCCAGAACATGTGCATTGAAGTAACTTTTCTTCAGCAATGCAACGGATGAAAAACCTCAGGTCGATGCAATGTAGGCCTCAGAAATCTCTCACTTCTCACTAGCAACTCCCAAAGTGAAGCAGCTTGAGGGTACCACACCGATGTCGTCGATGGCATCAGCATCGCCCGAAAGCTCGTTGGAGTCTTCCTGCCGCCGGAAGAGCACTGCAGAGACTTGACTCGATCCACATCCAAATCGGCTGAGTCCCCCAAACTCCGTTGACACTTCATGCCCAATGTTGCACATGTTCATCGCCGCCTCCTCGCTTGAAGAAGTTGCCACCTCACCTGAACAAAGAAGCGCGGCGTTCTCAAGGCCAGGTGACGTCCGCTTGTGCGGACTATCAGGCCTGTGTCTTGCCAGGGTGCCCCAGTGTCCCAGCCAGCAGCTCTTGCCAACGAAACTGCCTAAGCGGCATGCATGACTGCGACGTGGATCGTAGGATAGCAGGTGCGGTAACCGCGGCAAGAAGACATGCAGACCACGAGGTGTCCAAGCCTCTGATGCATCCCATGACAACAGTGCTTCCTTCGCCCCTGGAAGCCTGCCAATGCATCTCCATCCAGTACCACCATCATCAAACTAGCAAATGTAAGAGTATCAGGAGTAACAGTACCAGTCGCATGGCAGTGGCAGTAGCGATAGCAGCATCGGATAGCATCTGCAGAGACACTGGCTTTGGTAGCAGCATTGATGGTGGTAGTGGCAGTAGCGGTGGTGGTAGAAGTAGTAGTAGTA